TATAGAAACATCTTTCAGCCCAAGTTGCCTGTTGGCTGCAAAGGTCCCTTTGAATGATGAGTATTTGTGATCCGAGCAGAGACGATGAGACACCCAGGTCGCCGTGTGCTGGTTTTGCTCTTTAATTCAATAATTCATCTCCTTACATCAGCTTTGCGGTGCAGATGCTGTTCCTCACCACCCACCTCCCTCCTGCTGCTCCCACCGCTTAAATTGTTCACTGGGACTCACCCCCCGCACTGAAGCAACCAGGGAAAACGCAGCAGGAGCAAAGTTATGTCGTAATTCAAGGAAAAAAAAAAAAAACAAAACCAAAAAAACCAAAGCAATGGCATTTTTAGACCTAAATACTCAGCCTGGGAACAATGCTGCAGTGGCCCGTGTGTTCCTGCTTCACCTGAAACAGGAGGGCTTCAGGTGCCCCAAGCTAAATATTATATTGCATCACTATAAATTACGCGTATCCAAAATGGGAAGGAGAATTGGATGTGAGGTCAAAAGAAGGAGGTAGTCCTGGATGTCACCAGGGTCTCTGCTTTACACCGGGGGATGCTCAGGGTCCCGTCGCAGCTCACCTGCAGCTCTGTCCGCTCGTCCAGCACCCTGAGCAGGGCGATCTGCTCCTCGTTGCTGGCCGTGATGCGGAGGACCTGGTCCCTGCAGGGAGGTAAAGCCATCAGCACATGCGGCAGGGATCACAGGAGGGGGCGAAAGGAGCTGAGCCTCCAGCAGAGACGTGGCCCCATCACGGGCTGGGTGGAGGCTGTGAAAGGTCTACGCCAGCTCAGTGGGTTGGAAAGTGCATCAGCTGTTGGAGACTTGGTGTCAAGAGTGAAAAATACAGGTTCAAAACAGCCATGATGGGAAAAACGGCAAGTGCTGGAGAGCCCATGGTGGTCTCCATCCTTCTTTTGATCACGAGAGCTCCCAAAACATTATACCTAAGATATAGATATTTTCGAACATAGCCTCTGCTCCAGCCCAGCTGGGCTCGCCCAGGGATGGGTGCAGCCCCCAACAGAGAAGGAACTGCTCTCCTTCCCCAGCAGCAAGGTTTCCCCCTCTCAGTTCAATCGTTCCCCTGGAAAAGCTCAAGCTGATGCTCCCAGGACTCAGCATCCCCTAATATCTCCCCTCCACAGCAGCCCGGAGGGTGCTCCAAACCTCCCTCCGAAGCCGGGGTGAAACCACATCTTTCCTGGTGTCCACGTGGCAAAAGCTGCCAGATTTCCCTCCTTTGGGATGTCGCCCTTCTCATTGACCCCAAAGGAGGGCAGACAGGGCCAGGCACGTCTCACCACGGTCCCCGTCCCCACCCAGGGTGCCCCACCACCCCCTGCTTTCGGCAGGACTCACCCCACGAAAAGTTGCTCGCTGCAGACAGCTGCCACGAGGGTGGCGAAGACCAGGAGGATCTTCATGGTGAGTGGATGCAGATGAGCCTCAGCCCCCCCGAGGGCATATATAGCCCCCCCGTATAGCGCTCCGGGGACACTCGTGGACCTTCTCACCAAGGCCACATCTGCTGTCCCTGCGGAGCCGGCAGCGACAAAAAGATTAGCCAGGAACGGCTCCCGGGAGCCCAAATGTTTGCTTTATTTGGCGAAGTCAATGAAAGAGCAGCCAAATTAGGGAGGATCTGATAACGTCTTCCTCGGCGCTCAGGAGGAAGCGTGCCCGCGCGCCCAGCTGCATGCGAGTAGGTGTCACGGTCACAGTCACCACCCAACCCACGGGCGTGGGATGGTGGCAATGGTGGGCTCATAGGACCCTATAGTACACAAGGACACGGCACTTTGTTTCCATTAATTTCTTTATTACAGGTTACTCTTAGTAAGATAAGTATAATTATGGTTAGGAAAGCAAGCGTATATTACCAGTTGCTGCAAAAATACCAGCAGAAAAGTATATATATATATTTATGATTAATTACTTATATGCACACCTATCTAACTATAAAATTCAAAATATATAATTCAAATTATTACCGGTGAAGTTCATCAAACCGCTCCCAGGAGTGGGGCCAGTTGACGATGGATGAAGTCTCCCTTCAAAGACGATGGGTGTCACGGAGACCGGAGCCAGGCGTCCCTGGCGAGGATCCGAGGGGTGACACAGGGACCTTCACCTGGGGGTAATGCTCGGAGAGAGAGAGAAAGAGGGGCTCGATTTTGGGTAGAAAGTGAGTTATTTTTATATCTTTAGTGTAGACAGGAGTGGGTGCAGCTCCTGGAGCAGCCGTTGCCGATTTCTGATGTCTTAGGAGGTCAGTTCATTACAGCAGTTTCTTTGTTCCACAGGTTATAGCAGTGTCTTTGTTGCCCAGGTTATAGCAGTGTCTTTGTTGTCCGCTTATCTATGATGCCCCTGCTCTTCCACCTGCACTCATCAAAGATGCTCCGGGTTCCCGGGCCGGGTTCCCAGGCTGGCAGACATGATCTCCGTCAGCATTTTAGCAGATATCTTCTATCTGTGGTTTTTTCCCCCATTAAAACCAGGACGTCTTTCTGGTTGCACCCACAGCAGGGTGTGCAGCAGGGAAGGCACCGTGGTTGGGTGTCTGTTACGGCTTCACAATGCGGAACCGGTGATGTTGGTGAGCTTGTCCTGGCCGGTGGGGCCAGGGTAGAGGTCCTCGTTGAGGCAGGATCATGGGGTAGTTGAGGTGGGAAGGAGGAGGGATTGGAGGAGGTCTGTATTCGACCTCCTGGATGAAGCAAGGTCAGCTCTGGGGGCAGACCAGGTCCCTCCACATTGGGTCTTGGAATCCCTGCGCAGCCCTTCCGGGCAATGTGTCCCACTGCTGGACTGTCCTCCTGGTGGAGAAGCATTTTCCTGCGTCCAGCCTGGCTCTCTCTTGTTTCAGCTGATGCTGTTGTCTCTCCCACCACACTTGGTGGTGAAGAGCTTGGCTCCGGTTTCCCAATAACTTCTTCACAGGGATGGGAGGGTCCTCGTTAGGTCCCCCCCACCCCAGAGCTGTCTCATCCCCAGGCCAAACCATGCCATCTCCCTCAGGATGTGTCCCTCCATCATGGGACACATCCTGCTGTTCCTTTTGGTGGCCTCCATCGGTCTTGCTCCAGGTCTCTTTGGTGCCGGGGGGGGGGTTCCAAAAACTGGATGCAGTTGTCATCAAGTTGTCATCAGTGTCATCACGCACTTACAAGAAGAGGGGCCAGGTGCCCTCAAGACCTGGATGGTGGGAATGAACTTCAAAGGTATGGAGAGGCCACAGGTCTACAACCCTGGCTGAGGCTCCTCCAGCTCCACAGCTCCTGCCCACCACCTGCCAAGGTCCCCACTCTGGTGGCAGCAGGTTGGCTGTGTCCAAGAGCCAACTGTGTGCCCTGGGCCCTCCCCATCAGCAGGGTTTTACCGCAGTTGTTTTTATCGCTGGCTGGAGGACGGGATTCTGGCAGGGTGGGTCAGTTTTGGAAGCAGGTGCCACCAGCTGGGGCCGTGAGCAGAGGGGAAGGGGACACGTGCAGGGAGCGCCGGCTGCCCCATGGTTGGATTTGCTTTCCAAAACGGCTGCACTTAACCCAAAATCAACCGCAGGTGGTATTTCCCGATGCCTCAGCTGCACCTTCACCTTCCTTTCCCTGCCAAGAGCCGCGTGTCCTTTGAGTCTGAACTTTTACCCACTACATCAGGTGCGTTTGCTCTCCTGCCAGCTCATGGAGGAGTGGGTACCTCACCGGCTGCTGGGGGGGATCATGGGACATTGAGATAAACCTGTTAGACTCGTTAATCACTGCAACAGCAGCAGGGATTGCTAATCTCCGATCCTTCAGTGGCTCCCGTGCACGGCCCTGAGCTGTTTGCTCTTAATCCCCAAGAAATTAGCAGGCTGAACAACAGAACGAGGGAAGCGGACTCTTGAGGGATGGCGGACTTGCCCATGCTGGGTTAGAGCAGGCGTCCTCCCACCTCCACCCTCCAACTGTGCCCACTGGGCAAATCTGGGAAGGAGAAAAGGGGTAGGAGAAATATTTGGGGGCATTAGGCCAGAAAACTCCCTCTCACCAGCACTCGGGGGCCTGGCAGTGTCCTGAGGCTCGATAAAGGACATTAAATTCCTTTAATCAGTCTCACAGCCTGGATTATGCTGCTTAACATTAGGGCCTCCGCACGAGCCCGTTCTGCCCCCAGAAGTGAGCGCTGCTGCAGCCCCTGAGTTCACAAGAGCAGCAACATGAAGTTGTTTTGCACAAAACCCAAAATTCTTCCCTGTCTCCTCTAAACAGCCACTGGACGCTACCGGAGCTGATAAAAAGGCAGGCTCACCTCATCCCCCCAGCTGCAGTTGCGCTCCAGTAGTGGAGCAATTAACTTTCTAGATGATATAGTTTATCATTCAAGAGCTTCGGCAGCTCTGAAGAGCTCACACCACTTTCAATCCACAATATTCAGAAGTACTTCAGAAAACCCGCTCACCCACATCCCGCCCCGGGAGGCAGTTTCTGCAGTGGGCACAGGGCTGGTTGTGAGGAGGGGAACGGTGCTGCGCAGGCAGAGAAGTTTGCAGAAGTTCACCATGCTGCTGAGGGCCAGCGTTGCTTGGAGCAAACGCATTTTTGCATTTAGTGACAGAGATGGAGCTGCAGAGGGCACAAGGCAGGACAGTTTGCAGCAGGCACGAGCGATGGGATGAGCATCGCCTCCTTTCCCAGCGCACCCTTTTTTCTGCTCTCAGACCGAATCTCCCCTCAGCCTCTGCACTGACACAAGTCCCTGAGCTGACTTCTTTTTCAGCTGGGTGGGAAAAGGCCGGCGCTCTCCCTCTCACTGGAGGTCACGCTGACATCTCCATAGCCACCCAAGTGCCCACATCTTCCATCCTCCCCTTGTCACTGTTCCTACGGTGTCTCACTGAGGTGGACCACAATGGCATCCTAAAAATCTTTTCAAGGGTCTACCACGCTCACACAGTTGCGGTGAGCAAGACAAGCATGAAAAGCTTTTTCCATGCAGACACGTATCGCTTGTAGGAGGAATGCGCACAGGGTTTTTATTCAGCCAGGTGCCACGTCATTACAGCTGTCGCAAGCACACCAAGAGGATTTATGAACTTCCTGCTGCAGACAGCCCATTCCCACCCCAGCTTTTAGTAGGGATTGTCTCGCACGTGCTCCATGATTTTTTTCAGCCCCAGCCAGGTCTCCTCTGCAGTTGGGATAATTTGGCTGGCTGGCAGGAGGAAACCGTAGCGACCCGTGTCTCGCAGCTCAAAGGCGAAAGAGTATTTGATGCCATAATCGTAGCTCCAGTCAATGCTGCCGCCGCTGGCTTGGTCTGAAAGAGAAAGGGAGAAGAGCCAGAGGGGTGAACAGAGGATCGATTTGAGTTCTGCTGTCCTGCGTCGTATATTCACAAGGGACAAGTATTAGGTTTTCACGCGATCGCTTAGCACCAGTGCTTGAGTAGTGGTGTCGCTCTACAGAAGCATCACTGCTGCCAAGAAGGAGAAACCTTTTCTGGGGGGGAGACAGAGGATGTTGGCTCCAGGACAGCCCGTAAAAGCGCAAACTAGCAAAATACTCACAGATAGTAGTGCAAATGCTCCCCACTGTAAAGGTGGTGCCATACAGGGACCGGATGGAACTGGCGGCAGCTCTTCCCAAGGCATCCTGGAGAGGAGGAGATGAATGATGGGTCAGAAAGTAGCCACGTTTAATGGGATTAAATGTTAAGGTTTCGCCAACCTGAACCATACTTGGGGAAATCTCCACAATCTTTCACAAAATCCCCAGTGTTTCACACCCCCCCCAATAAACTAATGCCAAATCAATCCATTTCTTAATCACTTCTAGTGACAACACTCGCTGTTTCCACAGTATTTTGGGGAGGTGACCCTGTGGGTGAATGAAATCATAGCAGGTTCTGTATCTGATCATCCAGTGCTTCATCTCACCGACTCTCTTGTCAAGAGAAGGTTCAAGAGAGCAGAAAATCCCAAGGCAGTTGTAGAACTTCCAGTACTCAGGGGTCAGCTTTGCGCTCACTTCAACTACGTAATGGCTGGTTGTAGACAAGAGAGCCAGGCTCTTCTTCGAGTAGGGCAAAAGGACGAGTGGCAGCAAACAAATTGCCACAGGGGAAAATTGCATTTAGGTATTAGGGAAAAAGAAAAACCCCATGACAGTGGGGAAACTTTGGGACGGGCTTGAAGAAGCTGTGGGATTTGTCTTGAGAAATATCAACACAAATCAAAGCAATTAATCAAAAGTCAGCTGGGCAAGGCCCTAAGCAACCCGATCCAACTGTGAAATTGGGTCTGACTCCAATGTCTGCCTGCTTTCAGCAGAAGGTGAGACTGGAGACCTCCAGAGGTCCTTTCCATTTGAATTATGATTGTGAGCTCCATATTGTCTCAGAGATATTGTTACAGCTGTGATGCTGTCATTAAAGCAGAAGGAAGGAAAGGTGGATGAGCAAAAAGGGCTGAGGATGGGTGGGGATGGCACGTGTTCGTGTACAACCAAGGTTTCTCTTTTAAAGGCATTTCATTGCACTGGGTTTTTGTTCGCTCTTACAGATGGTTACTGTTATGGATGGCAGAGTTCAGCCTCTCATTTTCATCCTGATACCTCACAGCAATACTTGAGGATAAGAAGCCAGCTGGACAGAAGAGAGGAAGCTAAAGCCAAGTGATTATGTCTCACCAGCTCGACGTAGTCCGCCGGTTCAGTGCATTTATAGCCATAGGGATACATCAGGAGCTGAGAGTAACTGTGGAGGGTGAGGAAAGCCCGGATGTTTCCATGATTCTTAATAAAGTTGACGACAGATCTAACCTCCACCTCTGAGTTGGCACTGGGCCCACGGTAAGAGTCAGAACAGGGATTACTGCTGGCTCCAGGACCTGCCGGTGCAAAAGGGGGAACAAAGGCAAACCTGTAAGAACTGGCATTCATGAAAGGTCAAAGCAGACCAACACAAAGCCGGGCTTTCCGAAGAACAGGTCTTCAGCCAAGGGCAAGGCCTTAAATGCTGATAAATGCTCAAACAGCAGCAACAGAGCATGAATACTCAAGGAACATACTTCTAGGTGATACAGATTACTGCCTTCATCTTGTGCTCACTGGCAATTAGTCAACAAGAAATTATCTTTACAAAAGACAGCTCCCACCCTACTTGACCATTTTCTTTCTGAATCCCTTATACTATTAAGACAACTGCTGATCCTTTGTAACAGGATCTGGGAACACGAAAGGGAACTTTCTTCTTAGTGACAGCCAGAACTCAGAAATTTTATTCCTACCTCCAAAACCTGCGTCCCAGTTCCTGTTTGGATCAACTCCAACACACAAACTGCCTGGATTCTTGGAGCGGGTCTTCCGCCACATGCGGTTCTAAAAAAAAAAAAAAAGAAACACTACGGCTTCAAAATGGAGCAAATCTCATCCTTGCATTAAAACTGCTACCCAGAAATAGCTGCCATTCACCAGGAAGCGATCCCAGGCACGAGACTAAGATTATTTCTGATGGGCTGACTGCCAAGATGGGCCAATGGACAAAAATCGAAGGGCTGGTGAATTTACCGAGGGTTAAGATAGGTTAGACAAGTAATTAGTATCTTTGGCTGCCCAAATCTTTTGTAACCCCTTCTTACGGCATTAAGAAATGGACATTCAGAGCCTACTTCCCTTGCAGCTATTGTTTGCTTGGAAGAGCG